AATGGTAGGCCTAATTGTGTCACTTTTACACCATAAACTGGAGAACAATCGGAGGGCAGGGAAACTTATTAGTGTGATTTTTCATCAAGAGAGATGTTCTCCAATAGCTGCTCCACTTTATCAGCAAAACTGGGAACTACTTAGAACAGCCAATGCACTCTGTATTAGGTATGTATATTTGTCTACAGTGCGGTATGGTTTAAAGGGATCAGATGAAATTCGTGTGACAGGCTCCATGATATATATAAATTATTTGTACGCAGCTTATTCAGTACAAAAAGCTAAGGAAAGGGCAATTGGTAACCACTCATTTTGGTTTGGTGGATCCAAATATTTCAGTTACACAGTCTGTCGAATTTATGGAGAAAATGGTGGTTGGGTCACTTTCTTCAATCGCTTTTCTTCGTGGTATTTCCATCCGACGTGGTCGTAGAGAAATTAATATTATACCCTAGAGGGATCAGATGAAATTCCTGGGACAAGCACCATGATAGGACGGATAAAGGTGGATTAGATCTCTTCCACTCTCATCATAATGAAGAAACTGATGCTTACTATTGCAAAGAAAATCAAAGCTTATTATTCTGTTCCAAATCAGATCATTTATTATCATGGACATTTTCATGCATTGACTTTGTCAGTGGAGCAGAACATGAAATTTCTGTTGTACAAATTCCTTTCAACTACAGAGGTAAGTATGAATCTGTTGTAAAATTCCTTTCAACTACAGTGTTAAGTACCTATGAGTCTGTTGTACGAATTCCTTTAAACAAGCCTACAGTGTTAACAAACACAGTATAATAAAAACACAAATAGACTTTATAGAAGTAAATCCAAAAGTGTGTACACTTTTAATTTTTCATTCGACCATCAAGTGTTGTTTTGGGAGAAATCGATAGAAAGGAAGTACTGCTCGAACAAAGCCAGGGATTGCTCGAAGATGTTTCCAAGTCAGTTCGACACTAATATGTTCGATACCACAACTCTTTCTCCAATGCCCAACGGTTAACAGTGTTTCAATGAGACTCATCATTGACAAAGAGGTTCCAGTTACTTAGAGTAGATTCCAAAATCTTTTGAATATTCTGATGATGACAAATACATCCAAAGAAGAAACATTCAAGCATGGAACAATTCAGTGTAAATATACACATTTCTGTGTCAGCAAAGTCCTATATGAACAGGGAACTCACAAGTGAAGAACTATTTAACAGAAGATGAAATACCACCTCAGGAGGAGTCAAGAGATGAGATTGTGCCACCTTCAACTAAGTACCGTTCTCAATAGGCCGTCTCAATTTACCAAAATCAATTCTTAACGTATAATAACAAAATTTAATTGAAATTATATGATGGACGCATTAATCAGGAAACGAGTTAGATGTTTAAAAACATAACATTGTTTTTAATTTTAATTTTCAGTAGAATTCACCATTTTTTAGACCTTTATAAAAGTGACCTGATGGTGTATTTGTAGTTGATAAGGCAAATATTTGTAAAAAAATATAAAAACTTACATTTAAGCAGCTATGTCAAGGTTAGCAATGTATAATTTAACACTTTGTTTATTATTGGGTCAATTAAGTATGTATTTTAACAAAATAATATTTTTTATTTTTCAATTTCTCTCTCAATTTGATATTTACAGTGGACTCCCTCTAATCCGGACTCCTCGGGACCGAGGCCAGTACGGATAACGGTTTTTCCGGTTAAACCGACTTCCCCAAAATCTCATTAAAACGGACCGTTTAAATACATACTCTATACAGTATTTGACTTAAAATTAGGATTGTATTTGACACATAATCACTGGTCTCAAATCTTTTCTACGAGAACAGTCATTCCAGTAGGCCTACTTCCTGCCGATCTAGTTCGGTTAAACCGATGTGCTGATAAAAATTATCTGGATAAAGAGATATCACTTCTACCAAGTGTGGTCCAGTTAAACCAATGTCCGGTTAAAAGGTGTCCAGAGGGAGTATAAGAGGGAGTCTACTGTACCCATGAATAAACAAATAAATATAAATTAGGCCTAATAAAAATAAATTTGGAAAAACCTGTGAATACAGTGATGTTTCAGATGAAATTACCAAAGCAGCTCCTGCTCACTACTTCATCACAAGGTACGCTGCAAGCTACTAGAATGCCAACAGCACTTGAGTTTCTTGTAACAGGCTGATCATGGCATTGCTGAAAAACTCATGGGAAAGTGGCGACTTTGAAGGGTGTTTTTGAACCGTCCAAAGAAGGAAAGGTGTTTCAAGGAGAACATTTTTAATAGGCCTTGGTACTAAATCAGGGTTTTCCCTGACCGTACCAACCCTGTAGATCCTCAAACTGGCGGGGTGAAACTATAATAGTCGCTGTAGGTGGTTTTTGTCGGGCAGTGACCATAATGGTCGTGTTTTGCAAAGGTTTTGGTTAACTCCAAATAAATGGTTAAAAACGATTGTAAAATGGAATGATTCTTATAGGTACTGTTAGAAAGATAAGATTTTAAAATTGCACTTTGTTACATAGAATATTATTTACCTACGACCGTTTTTTAAAGTAGCCATTTCAGTTCAGTTCTTAGAATTGAAAAGTTTCACTTTACAGCTGTTTACTTTCATATCCGCATAGTTTCATTTCAAATCCGCATAGTTTGCTCATATCCACACAGGTAATGGACCAATGAGGTTCAAGTATTGAGAGAAAAGAATTAAAATTGTAATGCTTCGAACGTCAACTAATCAGCTGATCAGCTGATCAGTTGACCAATTTAATTGTTCATCCGACTTGTTCATGTTGATACTCGAGTATTCTTAATTAAGTTGGTGGAAGTCCGAAAATAAATTAAATATTTGCCGAATTGTACCTGATACAGTATTATTTATGGTAAGAATGCTGCTAGCAATGTAATATTTAACGAAGTTTAACAAACACGTAATTACAGGAAATCTGCTGATTATACAACAAGTCGTTGCATCACTTTCAGTGGCAATGACAATACACGAAAACACAACCTCTCTAAAAAGTTATCATTAGTGATTGTTAGTAATTAAATCCAGATTGATAGTACCGGTAATTAAAAAACGGTCCTAGGTAAAGTAGAGTACGCAACTCGCGTTAATAGTCTTTACGACACTCGTAGAAGTTTTTAAGGCACTCGCCAAGGCTCGTGCCTTAAATTTTCTACTCGTGTCGTAAAGACTCACTTAACGCAATCGTTGCGTAAACTACTATTCCTTTACAGAAATTTGAACATTTAACTTACATTTCTTGAGAAAAAATATTTAGCTTTTGTTTAAAATTGTATTGCAAAAGTGTGGTATTTGCCATTTATTTGTTTTCAGGTCATTTAACTTACTAAAACCAAATGGCAATTGAAATATTTTTGCATGTCTATGTAGGGAAATACATTTTGTATAGGTTATCTTGAATTTAAAATGAAGAATTTTTTGTTTATGCCGCAAAGTTTTACTTTCAAACTTTAAAATGTAAAAAACCAACTAGGTTTAAAAAATTAAATAATTTTTAATCATTTAAACCTAATGCCAAAACATAATGTTCTAAATATTTCAATTCTGTTGGTCTTGCAAACCCCCAAAACTGCCTTGCCACTACAGAGTTCGCCCATTGCCAGTTGGAGGGTTTGGAGGGTTTAAGTCAGGCAACAGTTATCAATGATACGGTTTGAGTTACAATATGTAGGCCTAGCCTACAAATTTAAATAACTTATACCCTAGGCCATGTAGTCTTAATTACACCTCCCTTATACAGCGTGTTGTGGCGGTTGTGTTATCATAAATATGCAGGACTTTCCTCGTTTCGTTATGAATCGAGCTATGTTACCACATGAGTTATACTTTCGCACGCCAAATCGCCTACAAGTAGGTCAGGTTGTTGACCGGAGCGTGCGCATCACCCGTACACCTAACCTGGGGTATTTGGCCTGATGAATATCTCATATGGCATAGTTCGATTCATAACAAAACGAGGAAATTGCTAAGTCAAAGATACCTATTTATGATAACCCAACCTAACATAACCGCCACAGCGCACTGTATAAGTACCTACTTGGCAGATTATAGCGGCAGCGACACATTCAACTAAATTATTGCTGCCTTCTGGGAAGCATAACTCAAAAGCCACTAATCGTAACCATGTCAAATTTAAACAGTAAGTCAATTAAACATATCTTTAAATGTTCCTCCCAATTAACTGATGAAGGCCTAAGTTTAGGCCTAGTTATTTTTGGTCTCCAGTAAAACAATATCTTTATAATACGTGACCACTGGATGATACCAAAGTACTATGCTCCTCGTGTAGGAGTTTTAAAGACTGAACTAAGTTTAGGCCTAGGCTCAGGCCTGAACCAAATAGGCCTAACTTAAGTTACCCTAGTTCCTAGGTATATTTTCCTACACCTTTCATTTCCTAGACCTACATTTTACTACCCTACACCTACAAGCACCTCAAATTATTTCATATTTCCAAGAAACAATCTAGGCCTAGGTCTATGTAGGCCTATCCTACAGGCCATGATATTAATTTATAGACCTACAAGGCCTAAATTAAGTTAGCCGGTTGTAAAACATTATTGCAGATTAAATCAAGCGACCACTAACTTCACATCACAATTGTATAAATTTGCAAATTTAAATAATGCAGCCTAGGCTAGGTAAAGTTCAAGTCAAACCTCAGATTTCTGCTGATTTTAATTGATGCCAAAATATCCATCCCTGCCGTCATACTGATGAATGTAATGTTAGGACATCCATAACTGAAGCCAAATTCTTTAGAATGAAGCAGCAATCGATTATGACATATCATATTACCCTACTGGGACATAAGATTATTGAACATCAGGCTTAACCCCTACGCAGGTACAGAATGGTACGAGGGGACCACGCTAGTATTGACAGTTAGTTGTCTTTCCACTAAGTAAAAATGTATATTAATTAATTTCGTTAGTATTCTCTAGGGTGAATATAACAGCGATATCTTATAATACTTACAATTTGTTTAATAATTTCAGGTTTGATGCCGGCCTCGAACTGTTTCACGGGATCTCTCCTCTTGTCTTGTTAGAAGAACGAACAGCGAACAGCGAACGGGCGAGGAAGGAGCAAGAGTTCTAAAAGCTACCGATTCAAGTAACGCTATTGGCTAACGGACAGGGTTTTCTATCAGGGTCTTTTATCAACCCACAATGCACCGCAAAATCCGTTCTCTAGATTCAAAAAACAGCTTTCACACATAGTGTAACGTATTTATCTCTAAATGATATCATGATATTTATATACTGTAAATGGTATATTTATAATTATAATTGGTTAAAAAATATACATTAGTAGTCACATATTAATCAACAAACTATAAACTTATTTAACAGTTGAATAGCTTATATGAAATTAAATGTCTTCATTTTTTTAACATGTAAATAAATATGCATTGCAATCGTCAACGTATGATATGAAATACCGGTAAGTAGTATATATCAAACAGTGCAAACCATGCAAAAACGCCGTATTAAGTTAGAATAAACAAAACCATGCTTTCTACTTTACAATGAAAGAATTCTGTTGAGACAAACAAACAATATACTTACAAAATAGTCATACCGTCAACTTAATTACAATTTTGAAGGCTGTTTGGGCATTTATTAATAAGCCTAAGCCAAGATTTTAGTTCCATTTCGAAGTTTTTACCTTCTAGTCTCTTGATGTACTTCGGTAATTACGGTAATGATATATATATATATCTTTTTGTTTGTACATAGTATAAAAAAATTAAAAAAATTCATTTATTTTCGTGCGTCTCTCAGTACAATTTAACTGTTTTACAGAGTAACTCAGGCCAAATACTAACTTAAAATGCCATAATAATATAATAAAAGACATCGTGTGATAAAATACAAACATTAAATATATATACAACTATTCAAAAATATTAATACATTTGTTTAAGTTTCTTTTCAAATTCAGGACCCCCAGCTGTTTCAGGTCCAAGGGAAGATCATTGTAGATCTTCGGGCCAAAGTGGGAAACCCTCTCCTACCCACTTCCAGGCACACTTTTTGAATGTGGAGTAAGGTGTTGTGCCGGATCTCGCGTTGGGTCACATCCCCACGTGCCACAACCCTTTCCACCAAGTACTTAGGCGGTTGATGAACAAAGACTCGGTGGATGAGGCTACAAGTTTGCGCCCTGCACACGGCTTCCATTGACAGCAACCCCACAGCATCCCAGAATGGGGATACGCGTTCTCGCTTACATACACCATAAACTCTCCTGGAGCTTGTCTTTATCATCCGATTTTAGTAGGCCTTCCTCCTCCATCTGGGTCAGATCTTCTGCGTTCACACTAGCAATAGGAGTGTTTTCGACCTGTCGGTCACACTCTCCTTGCTCATCAACATTGGTTTAATTTCTTGGATTTTCATTTCGTTCCCACGAGTTCCGGGTATCGAAAGGTCCACCTCCCCAGTGACCCGATTAGAGAGGTAAGGGGTTCATACGACTGGGTTCCCCCTGGTTACCAGAAGGCTCCGTTACAGACACTGAGTATTAGTCCCCCAGTGCCGCAAGACTCTCAGCACGGGGCGCATATATACCACCTTAGTCCAGGGCCCGCAGTGCTCAGACATAGATCTTTCTATAACTGAACGTCTGGGTGAGCGTCCTGATCTCAGAGAAGCAAGCCTCGGCCTCGTCTCAGACCATACGAAATACCAAGTACTGGTACTGCTGCTGCCCCCCACCACCATTCATAAAACATTAAACTCCACATTAACATTAAACTAGGACTCCAGCCTAGATCCGCCGAGATCAGCGTGACAGGGGCCACGACTAGCAGTCATTGGACTACACAGGCCTGCGCTTCATTTTGTACTGACCTTTGGCCTTCTCGGACGGTCTAGAGCACCATTTCTGATGCCCCTGGGAGTGAATTAGTTCCTTAGTTCCATATCTATGTAGCCTTTGGCTGTCCGAGGAACTACCGCACCCCTTTAGCCCCCTTAGCACCCCCTTAAGTAGTATAAATACTTACTGAATATGTTTTATGGATCAAAATAAAAAAATATTAAACAACTTTCCAAAAACACCTCGTTGTCGAGACATCTGTTATTATTTTTTATTTAAAATGTACAACATTAAATTTAATAACAGATAATTATCATTCCAAAAGGTGGTACTGTATACGACTTCAGGAAGCAATGAGATAATTACAAAAAAATAGTTATGAATATTTATTTAATTTCCAAATGGTGACCATTTAAAATTTAATAACTTGAATTTAACAAAAAATGGAAGATTGTAGGAAACACTTTTCTTTAGCATTTGAAATTTCCTGCCGATGGCATTCAATTCAGCAAGATCAAAATTATGGTAACAGCTTTCCACAAGCAGCTAAGAAAGGAGTGTTCCTGAAAATCCTTGAATTTATGTGTACTATGGATTGTTACGTAACATACCGTATAGTTACTAACTCAAAAATATGATATTTCCAACACCTTTCTCCTAATTCTAATTAAATTCATAATTATTTATAAGAAAGGGTATATGTCTGCTTGGTTTGAAAAGATACCTTTATGTCGTCAGTTTCAAAATCTAACTCATTTAAAAAAATCCCCAACTTTTCAAAAATGATTGGATGGTGGCTCCCTCTTACCAACTCTTGAGTGACGCTCTTGACAGCAGGGGTAGATCTGAGAGATTTTCTTCATTACGCCAGGCCCTGAAAACATCTCTCAGATCAACCCCCGCTGTATAAAGTGTCACCGCGAGGCCTGTTGAACAAAACATTTGTCAATTCCAGTGATATTTTTTACCTTTCTGAATAAAATGTTACACCAATAGTTTCATAGGAAATTTTAAATGTTAAACAGTGTGCTCGACATTTGTTTCATAAAATCAACCAGTGTTCGTAATTGAATACATACAAATTAAAATGGACTCCTTTGAAATAAGAAATATTTTAAATGATTTATTGTTTGCAATTAGTTACATTCCTGAAATCACTATCTTATTGATAAACATTACAGATATATAATCAATGGTATGGGGGTAAGCACTTGAGTGTTTGATATTTTTATGGGGGGAGGGGGGTAGTGAACATTGTTTTTTGTAAAATTGTTTTCGCATGGACAATTTTTAAATTTCTCTTTGTAATAATGTTTACAAACGGACGTATTAGGTATCTTTGATTGAAAACAGGACTTTTAATTGTGATATTTTTATTCACCTGTACAATGACTGTTTTATACATACAGTAAACCTTTCCTCCAGAATCTCTAGGACTTCATGTTAAAATGTTTACTGAACATATTTCGCTTATGAAGGTAGAAAAACACAGTTTTGTTGGATAAACATGACCTTAAGGAAAATAAAATGTTCATGTTGAGATTTTGGAGTTAACTGAGACAAGAACATCGATAACGTATTACGTGTATTATTTGTTAAATGTTTAGGAATTCTCTTGCCGAGAGATTGTGTGACAATAATACATACTACAACTATGTTTAAAGTGTTCATTATGCTGTGTAAAAATTTTAGTAGCCACATTCCTGTGGCTTATTTAAAGTAAAGAAATGCCAGTTAACCTTAAAACTTACCACACCCTCTTGAGTGATAACATTACTGTTATTTCTAGGACTACTTTGCAATGATTGATATGTAATCTCCAATGTAAAATTATTTCTTTCCGTGTGTATACCTTTTACGCCTATGTTTATACTAATATGTCCTACAGGTGTTGTAAAATGTGCGTTGGCATTGAGATTTGCCGTTAAACATGGCTAGTGCTAATGATGAACATGATCACCTAAGTTGGATAGAATTTTGTGATAGACATGCAAAAGCTGCAGCAGCTGACTTCGCTAAGGCGTTGGTTGGCTATGTAGGAGCAAATCTACCAGAGAATGTTAGACCTACTGTGGCCTATAAGGACTTTGTGTCAAAGTTTGTCGAATTTTTTGTTGACCATTTTGAAAACGAATACTCAATGAAGAACCATTGTAAGAAAGTGCCAAATGGTAACATATTACCTCCAGGATCGTCAAATCACAACACACATAGTCATGAAGAGTTCAGTGATTATTCAGAACATGAAGCGGATTCCCCATCTCCTAAAGTTCCGTACAAACCATTTTTTCGGAGACTGTCATTTAAAGGCCTTCGGAAAGGCAAAGGATTCTTTCATAAACAAAATTCTGATGAAGTAGAACTTTCACTTGATAAACATTTAAAGAATGACAAACATTTCAAGACCAAACTGGCTAAAATAGTTGTCGAGTGTCGAAAAGAAGGCATTGTGAACTATCTTATGGGGGAAAACATAGACGGTTGTAGTAACCAAAAGTGGGAAAAGTGTAGGCTAGCGCTAGTTAAAACTGTGGGTGGATACATGCTGGAGTTTTATTCGCCACCAAAGGTAAGGGAAACACATCTTAAGATTTAGGCCTAAGCAGTGTTGGGAAGTAGTGCGCTACAAGAAGCGACACTACAGTAGCGTGCTACTTATTTTTTGTAGCGTTAGCTGTAGCAACGCTACTTTTAAGATTTTGTAGCTTTAGCTGTAACTAGCTACATTTTTAAAGTAGTTGTAGCAGAATTTTAGCTACTTTTCTCGCTACATTAACGTTGATTGAGATAGTGATTTTTATCACAACCTTACGTTACATTAAATAAAAAACAACCTCTTTCAAACTGAGATTTTCAAGAAAATTAGGCCTACCGGTACTTTCTTGGCTTCATACAGCTGGTCGCAGCCGTTTCATTATCTATTATAACGTTGTGTTGTCATGGAGGCCATTATCTGAGTGTTATCCACATTTATGGCACTCATTTCCTTCATTTGTTACTCTATGATTACTGTCAGATAAAATTAAATCGCTAGATGCATACGACGTTTAAACATTACCATTGACAATTGAAGCTAGCCTATGTAATGCTTGCAAGTGATTGACAGGAAAATTAGTAATCAATTTATGTTCTTTATTTTATGGATAGCTTCAACTTGGGCTGGAAACCAACACAAAATCTTAAAATAATGAGAAAGCTGGTTTATCAAACTTTGCTTCAGCTGTTGAATGTGGTTAATTACCACAAGCCCTTTCTTGATTGGATTACAAAGATATTTCAAAGGCTAGGCTACTAAATTAACGATAGAAGTTATTGAAATTACTGAAATTATTAAGGAAATTACCTGATGAGATTTAAGATAGGCCTATGCCTAGACTATAGTAGGCCTACATAATAATTGTAACGAAAAAATCTCCATTTAGGCCCTAACATGAAACTTAGATTGAAAAAATAGCATAGTTTGCTCCTGCTAACAGCTCTCGTCAATGACTGACTATTCCTAGGCTATGCTATTGGATTAATTTGAATGCCAAGTTCAATTTATAGGAATATCTTTGTGTCATTTATTTAATATGTCTACAATGGGATATGATGTTATTTTTACTTCACAATTTTTCCAACATGTTTAAATTAAAAAGCCGATTTCAGGATAAGTTGCTGAATAAGTTACTGTTTTCTGCACCAACGTTTGTTGAAGCACAATTTGCCCTAATGAAAAGGACAATTTCTTGACATTGAAAAGTGTTATTCATAGAACAAGTAGGCCTAACTTATCCACTATAAATAGCAATGCCGTTTTTAACTTTAAAAATAAAGAAAGGCAATCAACTATAATTTTATTAGGCTAGGCTCTGTGACACAAAAAAGTATTTTTTTAAATACGGTAATCGTTTTACAGTTTTATTGTTTTTAATAGTTGATATAGGCTAAGACATCTTAAATGAATGTACATTTAAGAAATAAAATGAGCTTTTTAGTTTGGTTGTATGTCCTTTGAACTGAAAAACAATGCAATATTTAAAAATAAGTAGGCCTACTTAATATGATGGAACTCCCAACTATTTTGGTTGTGTTGTTGTAATGTTAGGTTTATGATGCCATAAAATTAAATACAATCTCGAAATAAATAGTTTTTCAAGTATTGTTAGATACAATACGCATTTTATGTTTTGAGTGTTTGTTCAATAAAAATGTAGTTGCAATTAATTTTACATTTATACCTAATGTGCTTGGAATAAAATTAACGTCTTTGGAAAAGTAGCTAAAATTGTAGCTAGAGCTACATTTCATTGTAGCTGTAGTACAGCTAGCTACTTTTTCGGAACTGTAGCAGCTGTAGCTAAGCTACTTTTTTGGAGATGTAGCAGTAGTTGTAGCTAGCTACATTTTAAAAGTAGCTTCCCCAACACTGGGCCAAAGTCATAAGGTCTTGCCTTGTTAGGCGCTATAGCCCGTTTTTTATAAAAATACAAGCAAAGATGGATGTGATAGGCCTACCATAAATAAGTTTCTGGAACATACTAAGACTACCAGGCCTGAACCTGCTCAGTTCATTAGACTGAACATTAAAACAATTAATTAGCCTAGGGCCTATCTGTTGACATTTATTTCTATCTTTAATTATGAATTGGTAACCTTAGCGCCAGGGCTGACAACCAAACAAAGATTTAATTATTCAAACGGGTAGTCTCCAGTTTACCTAGATACACTTAAGTTGTTTATATACCTGCATTGTGTTGGTAATCCAAATGGTTGCGTCGCAACTAGTTTCAGCTCACAATGGAGCCGTCATAAGGTTCCATGATTTAGTCTAGACGTAAACTCCCACCGGTTACGTCGTTAAAGCTAGGCCTAGTCATCCGTGTTGTGTGTTTTTAAAGTGTTGATGTTTTGTAAATATGTATAAACTTTGACGACCTTCAGAAGAAGCGACAATGTCCTGGTAAAACCTGATGATGGCTCCATTGTGAGCCAAAAGTAGTCGCCACGCAACCATTTTGATTACCAACAATACAGGTACCCATTTAAACCACTTAGTACAAACAAATAATGATGTAAGTTGGTATTGTAGACCATTAAATATGAGTAGACTTAAAAGCGAGGTGAGTAAAAGATTCAGATACAGTAGACTCCCTCTTATCCGGACTCTTTGGGACCAAGGCCAGTCCAGATAATGGTTTTTCCGGTTAAACCGACGTCCCCTAAAACTCGTTTAAACGGACCGTTTACGGTGTTATTCGACTTAAATTTAGGAGAGCATTTTATTTAAACATTTGATCACTGGTCTCAAATCTTTCCTACGAGAACAGTCATTTCAGTACCGCCCACTTCCTGCCGAATTAGTCCAGTTAAACCAATGCGGTGATAAAAATTGACCGGTTAAAGAGATGTCATTTCCGTGGAGTGTAGTCCACTTAAACTGATGTCCGGTTTAAAGGTGTCCGGATAAGAGGGAGTCTACTGTACCGTATTTTAAAATGTGATTTTTGGTACAATCATACAATTTTTGTATTTGTATTTTTCTTCGTCGTTGACCCTCTGGCAGAGGGAATAGGGTCTAGTTAATTATGATAAGTATACAGAATACGAAAAACTACACGCACACATTAAATCTGTACATTTACATGGCAGGTGATACAAAAAGTTAACTATCCCGCTCCAGATTATCTTCAAAGAAGTCAGCAACCTTGTAGTATGGTATTTTCATCATTAACTCTTTCCCAATTTAATTTAATTACATACAAGACTTCAACTTCTTGTAGGCTATATGCTAAAACAATCTTACTGAGGATCTCGGTTAAGAATAGTAGGCTATATAATTTGAATATGGTAAGAGGTTAAAATACCTTTTCCATCTTCAGTGTTATGAATTCTTAGGCCTAGTCATTGGATTAGTGGTTTTGGGTCAATGGCCTCAATCTGACATCAAATTGAAGTTAGTTTATATCCAATAAACATCTTTGAAATAAAAGGTTTTAATTACCTGTATCCGTCAAGTGATCCTAGATTGTAGTTAGTTGACTACAGATGTTTTGTGTTCATCATAAACACATCTTCAGGTTAAATGTTACATTGATTTATTCCATAAAATGGAAGGCAGTCATGACCTACCTTCTACCAGCGCCTCACGTGTCCGATGTCTTTAAACTTTGTGTTTTTCGTATTTGTGTTTTGGCCAATTATTGTTTAATGTTTTGTGTACAAATACAGTAAGTATTTGTGAACTTACAACCGTCATGACAACCATTTTATGGAATAAATCAATGTAACATTTGACCTGAAGATGTGTTTATGATTAAAACGAAACAGAGTCAACTAACTACAATCTAGGACCACTTGACGGATACAGGTAATTTAAACCTTTTATTGTTAAAATCAGTGATCCAGAGGCTATACCATAAAACTGCAACATCTTTGTCATTTGAACGTTAAAAACAATTTTAAAACACTGGCCTGGCCTTACTTAAATTCAAAACAGATCAACGCAGGTTGTATGTCCGACATAACACAACTAACCGTTGTTTATTCTTGGTTACTTTGACTTGGGGCTTGTGTGCATCGATCTGGCCTGGGGTGTGTTTGTTACTCATTTCCAACAACATCTGGTCCACACGGCTCTGGGGTTGTTCACCTGTCTTCATGGCTAGGCGTGGTTGGATGGAGTGTGGGGGGGGGGGGTTGTAGGGCGCAAGTTACTGTAATTCAATTACTAAAACATAGGCCTATACTCGGAAATAGGGCAGTTAAATAATCTTAGGGGCCGTACAATGCCATACTGTCTTCTTTTATAACTTATCAATGTTATTATCATAATTCATTCAAGCTAAAACTAAAGAAACACATGCTTATAAGTTTGGCTAGATTTAGTGGTCTCATTTATCACAATATACCTGAAAATCTTCTGTGATCACCAGCAACCCTTGTGATCTCCTACAGTGACTTTATTGTTTACAAACGACTAAAAACACAGTTAATGGTCACTTGGCCATAGGCAACTATCCCAAATTTCCTTTTTCCTTAGAAAATGCACAGACTATTCTTCTGGTCTTCATAATTTATATAGACCTTGGCAGGCCTACGTACTAGTCGCTGACTTTTCACCGGTCATCATAATTCCCATTCAATGCCAGTTTCAGTTTCAATATCAGACCAGTCCCATGAATGGAAAGAAAACTATCTAGGCCTAGGCCTAAATCTGCATGCTTGAAATTATTGGATGAATTGAATTTGCACTATAGGACTCTCTTCTGTTTTTTTTCTTTAAGTGTAAAAATTCTCTCCTCAAATGAAGAATCAGTCATAAAACAATTGTAAATTGTAATGACATGCTATGCTAGTAGGCCTAATTGTTTTTAAAAATATTTTATTTTTCTGATTAGGCTATTCCCTTTTGATTTTATATGTAAAATAGGCTTATTTTTAGAATTTCTGCCAGCATTGACAGTTTTTTTCAACAATTCTAACTTAGTTATTATTTTCTATTACAAAATTAGTTTTTTGTGTATTGTAATTATTATTGGTGTAATTTTTAACATTATACAACCCATCTCGTACAAGTTAAGCCATAAATGGGGAAAATTTTTAAATGTGTTAAATTCTGTTTGGCTTAGTTATCGTTGATTGTTTTTAATATAGGCCTAGTTTTGATGGTGCATTTAAAAAATGTTTTCTAGAAACTTTTTTAATGTTGCTCCATATAGCCTACACTACACAGACCATGAGCTAAATGGGGTATCCAACCAGGCCATCTATCAATAGATGATCATACCTCACTCTATCAGGATAGAACGCGGGACTTTGGTCCCGATGTCCCTGGTTCAAATATCGCCAATCAAGAATGAAAATGTCTGTTGAAATAAATAAGTAAATCACCGATGGTTTTTTGAATAAGTGCTAATGCTACAGCCCTCTAGACTTATGTGATGTTTTAAAGTTTCACGCTAGAGCCTAACATAGAGGATGAAGAAAGGATGTACACAAAAAACTACAGACATAATAAACTGACAGCAGTCAAGCTTTCTTTAATTGTCTAGTAAAGGTGTGACGGCTATTGTTGGCCTAATATCTCAGAATACTCACTTGCTTTAACTCTCAACCCATTAAACCTTCTTTGAAATTTCTGCATGAGTTACAATTTTGTGAGCCTTTATCCTGGAAATATTATGGGCTAGATATTGACTTTTGGGAAAAACAGGGTAAATACGTATAATACCGAACACACCGATAAATCAACTTCCAATTATAAGATTTTAGTTGGTTTAAATAACACAATCTTCCTAACCTAACCAAACGTAGGTTAGGTTGTTATTATTATGTGTGGTAGTGGTTGGTATAATAGGTAAGCTCTATTTACCAGTTTTAGCAATCTATAAAGAGAATGTTTCTATTATTTATGTTTTCAGGCGATAAAACCCAAAAGTGGAGTATTCTGCTTTTTGATATCGGAAGCCCGAGAGACCACAGCTCTTGAGATGCCAGACCATGAGAATACTTTTGTCCTCAAGGTAAGTTGACCCTCAGTATATCTAAGTTTGTGTCATATGGGATGTGGAAAGCGAATAGGGACCTCTTGGCGGGAATTTTAGATTTTGCGTTATATATTTATTTGAATTCCTTATTAAATTCTGAATCACTTGGTGCAAGTCCCAAGCATCTACGATTTTTTTGTTATTGTTAAAGTTATAGGTCTTTGAAATTTTGATATGAAAAAGGTTCATTTTGGGAAAAACTATTTTGAAAATTTAAAATACGCATAAAACAGATATTTCATATTTAAAAAACGGTTAGGGTATCAAAAGAAAGGTTATAATGCCCTCTTTGGAAGCAATACCAATTTTTGTCTTAACTCACAGTAGTTTTCATTTGAATAATTGTTTTATCGAAGCATGTCGTAAAAATCACATTTCAGAAAAGGCCGACCTCTTGTTGGGACCACAATATTTGTGAAATATTTTGTTCTCCCTAAACTGAACTTCGTTGTAGTTCTCAAAATTTCCACTAGAATGCAGAACAATTCATTTTTTGGACTAAAGTCTGTTTATAATGTGAATATTAGAAATGGAAACTCTTGTCGTTATGGCAAAATAACATTGAGCGACAAGAGGTACCTTTTCTCAGACCGTGCAGAGGCTAACAAAATGATTTATTTTCGACCTTTAACATCGTCAATTCGATATTTAACCCATACTGTCCTGTTCTATGTTGAATGAGGTATAACAATCATTAAAAACACGAATTTTGATATTTTCAACCTTAATTACTTATATTGGCCGTACTGAAAACTTTGCATCGCCAACAAGAGGTCCCTTTTCGCTTTCCACATCACAATTATTAAAACATTAGCCTGTAGTTGCTTACGGCATTAGCCATGTACGCTGGACGTTATTAAGCTTCTTGATATCCACTTCTACAATGTAGTTTTTTCTTTCTACACAATACATCTAAAACATTGTAAGCTTTTTAAACAAACTTCTATAATTTTTTTCTCGTTTATTATAGGGGGGGGGGTAGGGGGGGGGTAAGTGGAACCAGGGGGCAAGTGTAACCTCAGCTTATCAATCAACTGATAAGAGAAGTTTCGGCTTAATTGCTATCATATTGTGTTCTCTGGACCTTTTTTAAGGTTCTGAACCTTAAAAAGCTAAATATCATATGAAAAACTGTCCCTTTTAGTTTTGAAAAAAAGCTTACATGCGACACTGCAATGTAAATTCAAACATTTTTAAATTAAATTTTTATAGTAAATGTAACACTATTTTGTATACTAACTATTGTTTGCATGTAGATTCAGAATATCACTTCAAATTTATTAAATTTCTTACAACTTAGATTTTACAACCGTGGTTACGCTTGCTCCCTAAAATTGTGCTGGTGGGGTGAGTGGAATATTAGTAACAGTTCTAGTAGCTGAGAAGACGGGGGTTTTCACTAACTGACCATAAACAATATGAGATAGATAAAAAAAAAAATATATATAAAAAACCATATTTTTTCAAGAGAATCATGTGTCCAGAGAGTTATACTACAACCACACTCAATGCAACTATTTTTTGTTATAATTTCCTATTTTTTCAAGATTTTCCAATTTTACGTTTCTCTGCATTTTACTATGTTTTCCGCAAAGGTCTACGAAAATGTTCCTAACTTAAAAACGGAGAGATATTTTTATAATTCAAAAAGTCCCAGAATTACAGAAAATTTCCCTATTGACCCTCTTGCCCCTCATTCCTCTCAATGCAATATATTTTAATTCAGATGTGGGTGGTTCCACTTGCCCCCATGGTGGGGCAACTGGAACCACAAAACAAAATGTTTTTATTTAATTTATTTTTAAGAAAAAAATCATTTTTTTAAAGTTATTGTCTTTAAAAAAGCTAATTAGTTGTAGTTATGGTACCAAAATTTCACAATTACAAGTATAATATTACCTGAGCAATTTAAGGTCAAAGTTGAACTATGCTAAAACCTTGGTCCCCTACTCAGTATTTTCAAATTGTTCAACAAATATAAGGATTTGACAGTGAACTGTATACCTTTTAATCTTTTACTTATCATTTTCGATCAGTGATATAATATTCACCTACCACTTATACAACCTGAATACATTGTTTTAGTAATTACATTGCTATAGGTTTGCATTGACAAAATAGGTGGGATGTTTTAGTTACTGTATGAATGGATAAAGAGAATTAAACATACTACATACAGTATTATCGCCAGAATTAGTACTATTTTTTTGACCTGGGATATTGACTTGCAGGCAGAAAACAACATGGAGTATGTAATAGAAGCACACGACACAGACGACATGCGTTCTTGGCTAGCGACTGTCAAATACTGCATGCGATCCGTGCCAACATCCACTGACAATGTGGATACAAGGTATGTGTTATTTCTACTTGTAATCCAACGTTTGCCATTCTGACTTGTTTGGTAATCTGACAAGCTCACAAAGGTTATAGCTTACAGGGTGTTCCATGTTTTCTTTATTTCATGTTGTATAGCATCGTTGCATAGTTATCTTTGAGGTTTAGGGAAATAATTCTTTATTTTTATATCAATTACTTACCCTCTAGTCCTATTTCCTATGGATAAATTTGCTATTGGCTTTACATGTGGCTTACATGTGTATGTAAAAAGAAATCTCAAAAGAGATCTAAAACACTATATTTGACCATAGTTATTGATTACTCATCATTACTTGTGTATCTATAGTTTTTATAATGGGTTGGTTAATCCTTGTTCTGCAAGGGACTTGGTCCCGTGCTGGCCGGATATGAGGGGTTCTACTGTAGCTGACCACAAATCACTACATCATGTTGTAGAAGTCTGCTGGGAGTGGTGAATGAGAACGAGAGGCTGCGGTCTCCAGTAGCCAAGCCTACTGCTCCACCCGAGTCAGTGGAGGATCCACCGGAGCTACCCCCACGGCTGCAAACCTCCACCCCCGTCCTGCGTCTGTCCAGCAACAGCAACTTTGAGCTTTGCACTTCACGCACTGACATAGAGCATGGTCAGTGTAGTAGTAGGATGGGAGAAACACTCATATATTAGGTCATTTGAGACAGCAAACAAGCAAGAAGGCATTTTGATATACCACTAAAAGCAAGTAAAATATCCTTCCCGAAGGAATGATTTTGTTTCAGAGCAAATGCTTTAAGGGTAAAGGGTAGATGGTTTTGCAGCTATAGGTTTGAAGTAAAAGAATATAAGAGTTGAAACCCCTACTGGTCTCCGAAGACATTTCTGTAATGCCATGATAAGTGATCCTGAGTATTAGGTTAGGTCAATTAAGTACCTAATACAATCAACTTAAGTCCACCAAATTAGGTAAAAATTTCAAAATTATTAACATTTGAATGACAGGGTGTCTAGTAGTCGGGAAAATCGGGAAAGTCGGGAATTAGTATTGAATTTCAAAATGGTCTTAAAAAGTCGGGATTTAGTCTTAAATTTGATTTCAAAGTCGGGAATTTTCATGATTTTGCCGCAATCGTCGTCTTGCGTTTACGTAACCGCAAAAGCCAATGATGATGTCTACACGGCCTCGGGAAATGTTCACGATTTTGCCGCGATAGTGGACGACGACAATGACGTTTCCGAAACCACGAGAGACGACGATGACGTTTCTGTGACAGCGGGAGACTACGATGACGTTTCCGTGACCGCGGGAGACGACGATGACGTTTCCGTGACCGCGGGAGACGACAATGATGCCTACACGGCCGCGGGAAAGGTTCATGATTTTGCCGTGATCGCGGACGACGACGATAACGTTTACGTGACCGCGGGAGATGACGGTGATGTCTAAACAGCCGTGGGAAATGTTCATGATTTTGCCGCGATCGCGGGCGACGACGATGGCGTTTCCGTGACTGGGGGAGACGACGATGACGTTTCCGTGACCGCGGGAGACGACGATGATATTTGCTCGGCCGCGGGAAATGTTCATGATTTTGTCACGATCGCGGACGACGACGATGACGTTTCCGTGACCGCGGGAGACGACAATGATGCCTACACGGCCGCGGGAAAGGTTCATGATTTTGCCGTGATCGCGGACGACGACGATAACGTTTACGTGACCGCGGGAGATGACGGTGATGTCTAAACAGCCGTGGGAAATGTTCATGATTTTGCCGCGATCGCGGGCGACGACGATGGCGTTTCCGTGACTGGGGGAGACGACGATGACGTTTCCGTGACCGCGGGAGACGACGATGATATTTGCTCGGCCGCGGGAAATGTTCATGATTTTGTCACGATCGCGGACGACGACGATGACGTTTCCGTGACCGCGGGAGATGACGATGACGTTTCCGTGACCGCGGGAGACGACGATGATATCTGCTCAGCCGCGGGAAATGTTTATGATTTTGTCACGATCGCGGACGACGACGATGATGTTTCCGTGACCGCGGGAGATTACGATAACTTGTCTGTGACCGCGGGAGACGACGATGATGTCTACACGGCCGCGGGAAATGCCCTTGATTTTGCCGTGATCGCGGACGATGACGGTGATATCTGCTCGGCCGCGGGAAATGTTCATGATTTTGCCGCGATCGAGGGAGATGACGATGACGTTTCCGTGACCGCAGGAGACGATGATGACGTTTCCGTGACCACGGGAGACGACGATGATATCTGCTCGGCCACGGGAAATGTTCATGATTTTGTCGCGATCGTGGACGACGACGATGACGTTTCCGTGACCGCGGGAGACGACGATGATGTCTACACGGCCGCGGGAAATGTTCATGCTTTTGCCGTGATCGCGGATGACGACGATCACGTTTCTGTAACCGCTGCAGTAGTCAATGATGATGTTAATGATGATGATGTGTACGGTACGTGGAAGATTTCATGATAAAAAAAACCAAATTTGCTAGTTAGATTTTTTTATTGCTGCATTATTTCTTTACTTGAAAACACCACATTATCATAATACTACTTTGTGACAAAGACAGGGGTTGGTGTAGTATTATTCAGAAAATTTGGTTAAGCTATAAAAATTGGTATCGGTATCAAGAATCGAGAATCGATACATTTTGGTATCAACACCCACTAATTGTTGAAAAAACTAGTCTTGAAAAATCTGGAATTAGTCTTGAAAAGTCTGGAATTAGTCTTGAATTTTATAATGGAAATAAACTAGACACCCTGGAATGAAGTGATGGCAGCTGGCTTACCTTAGAAGTACCTTAGTTAGGCCATAGAACACATAAAATACACACAATATCTAGTTCCCTAACTCTCTTTGGCTACACTTGAAAAAATCCCCCAGGGGACAAAATAAAAAAGCCAAGCCTTTCGTTGAACAAGACAAAATTATCAAAAGCCTAACTCATAAAAGTTAAAACTTTACAAACTGTAAATTGATTTCAGCAGTGTGTGAGTCGGACGTAGACCTATCTCTCACACTGAGAGAATACCCATGGTTCCACGGGACCTTACCCCGCTCTGACGCTGCCTCTCTAGTCCTTCACGGCGGGTCCGGTGCACACGGAGTCTTTCTAGTCCGTCAGAGTGAAACCAGGAAAGGGGAGTTCGTACTGACCTTCAATTTCCAAGGACGAGCAAAGGTAAATCCATTGTCAAGAATTAAACGGTAGAAATAGGAAATACCATTACTTTGCAATAATAGTTAGGAATGCTAATCGGAATTTGAGTATTGTGAAGTAATACTATTAATTCCGTCACCAATTACTTTTTCATCTGGTATTTTATAGTCGGTCACTGTTAATAGGACACGATCAGCGTTATTTCATTTGCTCATTCCAACAGATCATACAACGTTACAAAAATAATGTTACACTCCCAGTAATTTATTACCAAGGTACTATATTATTTTGTGATCGTGATGCTCGCTGTTAATCGGAAGACGTGGCGGGAATTTCTTTTTTCGCTCATTCAAACAGTTTAGACGACATTACAAAAAGTAATATGGTATTCATAGTAATCTATAGCTAAGGTAATCTATACCTTATATCTATAATATATCTATATAAGGTAATAGTAATATATACCTATTAGGGGACAGTTCAATTGTTTGATCATATTACATTAAATAAAGCCCCGTTCACACAGGGTGAGTTTACAAGCTACACGCCGGCTTTTTTACACGCAGTTAGTAAAATAGCTCAGTGTGAACAAAGTACTCGCTCAAAAGCTGCTTGTAAAAAAGCTCTGGAAAAAGTTGACGCTGCCGCTACTTTACATGCCACTTCGCCAGCTTTTGAGCGAGTAGGCGTGTAAAGTAGCCCAGTGTGAACACAGTTGCTTGTGCTTGTGCGCATGTTATTCAAAGATGTCAGAGGATTTGGTTCAAGCTAGCTACTGAGCAAGTGGAAAAAGCATCGTGTGAACGACTACAATCGCACTCTCCGGCGTCTTTCTACACGTTTACGAGTTGGCGAGTGGACAATCTCCGTGTTAACGAATACAAGCACACTCGCCAACTCGCTGGCTTCTTACATGCTGGCGAGTAGCTTGTAAACTCGCACCGTGTGAACGAGGCTTAATGCACACCTCTATCAAGCGGGCTGCCGATAGTAAGAATTAAGGAAAAGGCCAGACGGACAAGAGACCATTTAAATTAGTAAATTAGCGGGAGGTTACAGATTATTTCTAGGTTTATTTACTATTCGAATGTTCGAATATACTCATTCATATCGAGCCGGGCTCGAATATTAAAGTATTCTTTTAACTATTCAAACTTTCAAATATTTGCACACCCTACTTCTTATCATAAATGATTTTCACTTCAGATCTCTATTTTTCAGCACCTTCGAATGACACTAAACGACCAGGCACAATGTCGAGTACAACATTTGTGGTTCTCAACCATATTTGACATGCTAGAACATTTCCGTCAACATCCCATCCCTCTAGAGTCTGGAGGCACAGAAGACGTTACTCTGACAGAGTATGTAGTGGCGCCGCTGGTGACGGCGCAGGCAGCACCTGTCAGGTCGACAACTACACCTAGCACCAGCACACCTGCGCCAGACCGCCGACCTCCGCCTACGCCGGACACACGAGAGGTAATAGACTGACAAAGTTAAAAACCCTATTTTACCAAATATAGTGCAGTGAACCTCAATTACAAGACCTTTGATAATAAGTGTCATTTTCAAATACCCTTGATTTCATTAGGTGTTATTTAAAACATTACTTCACCCTTCGACACGGGAGTAAAAAAAAATATCTTTATTAAAGTAATTTTAAATTATTTTATTTAATGCTCAAACTATCATACCATTGGCAGCCGACACAAGTGCTACTGTAACAGGGTTCCCTCAGATCTGGAAAGTCACGGAAGGTAAGTGAAAGTCAGGGAAACAGGTATAGGGTCGGGAAGGTCAGGGAAAGGAAGGTAGCAAGTTAAGGGAAATTGATTGAAAACTGTTATAGAATGCAATAATTTTCAGTTTCTGAATTATTTAATGTTTCATACCATAATCTTAACTCCAATTGTTATTACAAATAAATTTCTTTTTATTTAGAACTGTATTTAGAATTTGATTTCTTATTTGTTGTTGTATTAATAAAAAGGAGGTGTTATGGCGCTTATGGAGATGGTGGAGGCCAAATTAAAAAATTAAAAGTTGTTTTTTAACTCAGGATACTAAAATATATGCCGTGGTCAGAGAAATTAACATAAAAAGTTTTTTTCAATACACGTTTACAAACTTAAATTCATGTGTGTAAACTGACAATAATTTAACAAATTGTATTACAACCGATTTAGATTGGAATATAGAATACGAGAATACAAATTTTAAGTTGCCTATAACTAGTTTTTAACTTAATTACAACAAAATAAAACAAACTATAAAGTTGTATAGATATTTTAACCGGTTGGTTTTAATCATAATAACTTTAATTAATCTACAGAGTAAAACACTTTCCTCTAGATATTGCAATAGCTGTTTTTGAAAAGAATTGGGATTTTTGATTGTTTTTAATAGACTTAAGTAGTTTGTTTTACAAAATCGGACCAGGAGAGGAATATTTAAATTTATAAAATAACATCTCTTCATAAATATATTGACTCGGCAGAGTCAATAGCTTGAACAGTTCAAATAAATCTATGCCATCTTGCTGTATTTCAAACCAATTATTTATCGAAGAGCCCTTTTTTTAAATTTAAAAACAGGATATTAGCAAATTTCAAAACAATTCCTTTACAGAGCATCAAGCAATCTTTTTTTACCTTGTCACGTAATCAGAACTATTTTATGCTTGTTGAATGTAGGATGCCGACTCTCAACTGAATACTGAAGAACTTAAAAACATAGGGAAATGATACCTTTAAATAAAAATGTATAAATTAACAATATACATTATAAACACTTTTAGTTATTTAAAATCCTTTGCACAATTCAAGGATATTTTGACTGGTTTAAATCTAATACTTCTTGTCCGTCCTGATGTGAACAAAAATGAACGTAAACCAACCACACAAACAACTAAATGAACATACACTATACACTAACACAGATTGGGCTTATTGCGCAACACAGACGATCCCGGCGCAGTTAGTAGAGCAAACCGAGTTGACTAGGTCTAGGTCGGAAATTGTATATTGTGCTTCAATAACTTTTAACAGATAAAGATCTAAAGGCTCAAAAGACCTCCTATTTTTCTTCCAAAGCAGCGTAGTTTGATCTTTTAGGACTTTCACTACTATCAGGAGATATAACTGTATTTCTCTGATCATTTAACTAATCTTTTACAATCTAATATAATAGCCATATAGAAGCATTGTTACCCATATTTAAATATCAAAGTATTGATGAAACTGCCCTGCTCTTTGAAGAGAATTAGGATGGGTCCCCCACAAGATTAGAAAGGCTAAAATTGTCCCGGCCACAGAACTAGACAAACAGAATTATTTTGTCCCTGAGTCTTCTAAAATTGCCTTGACGTTGACTGCTTTTTCCGTCAAATCACAATTGAATTAATTAGCTTAACTGAGAAATAATGAAATGAAATGAAATGAAATTAAATGTGTTTATTGTCTTGTGAATTTATACAAATTATTGACAATGTCCGAAAAACTGCTAAAACTAGCATAGTCAATATACTAACTAAACTATAAACTAGCATGAATACAATATACAATATTTACAAGAGTACTACACACAAGGAGACATGTTACAATACATACTTTAATATTACAACCAAATAATCTTATTGTTCAGAAAAATGCAAGGCATTTAGAATAATGAAAGTTATTAAACCCCATAACCAACTAAATCCAACAGTAATTTGATAAATTTGCTAGCTCCTACTTAAAAATTAATAAAAGGCATTTCAAAAAAATCTTTTAGAGAATAAAAAGGGTTGTTCAAAAGCCATTTGTAGAATTTAGATTTAAAAGTTTTATTAGGATATTTTGTTATTAAATGTATTAGCTTGTTGTATATTTTTAGTGAGATTACAATATGACTTTTAAGAGTTTTAGACAGTCTAAAAAAATCTATGGTAGCAACGTTTTTATTCCTTGTATTATGAACATGAGAATTTTGTTTGATAAGGTTGGGATTTTTTAGAATATATGATACAGAGTCAAATATATAAATGTTAATTACTGTTGGAATTTGTAGCTGAATGAACAGGGGTTTACAGTGTTCCTGTTGGGGTTCACAAGATATGATTCTAACTAACTTCTTTTGTAAGACTAAAATTTCCTCTATCCTACTGCAATTTCCGTAAAAGATAATATTGTATCTGAAAATGGATTGGAAATAAGCAAAGTAGGCTGTTTTAATATAATTTTGATCTATACAATGTTTTAGTTTAGTTATAAGACAAATTACCCTTGAAAGCTTAGAACTTATGTAATCTATATGATCTCCCCAAGAAAGGGTCTTATCCAGATAAATACCAAGAAATTTAACATTGTCTACATAACCATCCAACATATTTGATTCACAGGGTCTAAGGCTAAAAACAATTTTTTGAGTTTTATCTTTGTTTAAGAGGAAGCCGTTTGATTCAAACCAAATAGAAGCTTCATTGATTGAGTTTTGAGCTAACTCTTGAAGTTGTTTAAGATCGGGATTAATATTTAAAAATGTTGTATCATCTGCATACAAATAAGTTTTACTGGTTATACATTCTGGGAGGTCGTTAATACAAATTAAAAATAATAGAGGACCTAGAACAGATCCCTGAGGCACGCCATATTTCATTTTTAATTCTTGGGACCATTCTCCATCAATATTGACTTTTTGTATTCTATTGTTTAAGTATGATTTGAAAAAAGAAAGTGGAGATCCGTTGATACCATAAAAACTTAATTTCATTATTAGGTCATCATGGTCAACACAATCGAAAGCCCTACTCAGGTCGCAAAAAGTGGCCTGAGCAAGTGACTTCCTCTCAAAGACCATTAGTACCTCATTAATCAATTTATCTATTGCGTCTGATGTACACTTGCCCTTTCTAAATCCAAATTGTGATACACTTAAAAAGTTGTTTCTTTCAAAAAAAGAATTCAGCTGGTCAAAAACCATGATTTCAAACAATTTTGATACTACAGGAATGATTGATATTGGGCGATAACTTTCTGGAATATCTTTTTTACCTTTTTTAAAAATAGGACAGACTCTGGTGACCTTTAATTCATCTGGAAAGACACCCTCAAGGAGACAGAGATTAAAGCAGTAAGATAGAGGTTCAGCTAGATTACCAATAATCTGTTTAAGCAAACTATTAGACATGAGATAAACATCATTACTGCTAGAGTTTTTTAGTTTTTTTGTGGCTTTTATTAGATCATTAGGTGTGATAAAATTCCAGAAAAAAGGTACAGGAGTAATGGAAGAATTATTAACTAAATCTTTTGAACTGTAAGCATTACTAACAATTTTCATTTTTATGTTTTCAATTGATTCAATGAAAAATTTATTGAAAACATCAGGAGATATTTTGGGGTTTTTTGTATTGATTAAAGAATTGCTACTGGTTTTAATGATTTGCCAGGCAGTTTTACATTTGTTATTACTTTTTTCTATGAGATTTGTGTTATATTCTATTTTGGCCTTCTTAATTGAATGCTTATATTGATTTTTTAACCCATTATATGCTTGTTTTGTTTCATTTGAAACGCTTTGACTATTTTTTACTATTTTATCTAGAAAAATTAATCTTTCTTTCATAACTCTTAACTCACTATTATACCAAGCATTACAATTATTTTTTTTTTGAATTTTCAGTTTGAATTTTTATTACTTTAGAAAAATAAGAAATGTTATCTTTTAAAACTTTGAAAAAAACTCTGAACGTATCTTCTGCTGTTGAATTTATACAATTAAACACTTGTATCCAATCATAAGTGCCAAGCTTTTCTACTAATAAACCAACCGAATCTTTTGGCAAAATTACTTTAGAAAAAGAGTTTAAAGCAGCATATTGATTAACACAATCCTTATCCAAATTCAAAGTCAAATTAATTAGAAGACCATTATGGTCAGAGAAGGGGAAATCAAATACTTTACAGCTTATATTTGCGTTTTTACTACAATTTGTTAATACATTGTCCAGGCAATTGTTGCCTCGAGTGGGGGAGTGATTTAAGAAGTGAAAATTGTGCTGGCGTAGTATATTAAGAAATTGTTTAGAGAGGTAGTTGTTCTGAGTCAAGTCAAAACTTTTATTAAAGTCTCCTCCGATGATTGAAACATAATTAGTCCAACGAGAGAGATGAGTTAATAATTTATCAAAATTTTCAAGAAAAACCACAGGGTTGCCCGAAGGTGAGTGGTAGACAGAGACGAAAATTAATTTAAAATCCTCGATAAAGACCGCTGCTGCTTCTAAACTCATTTCAGAACAAAACTGATCCAAATCACACATTTTAACCTGCAAAGAATTTTTAGTGAAAACTAAAGAGCCCCCCCTTATATGATCAGTTCTGCAGTAAGCACTACCACAACAAAAACCATCAGGATAAGCTAAAGCAACCTCTTCTGTTTTTAACCAATGTTCAGTTAGACCAATAGCGGAGATATTATTCCTAAGTACAAATGACTCTAAAATCGATGTT